GGATTCTATTAAATAACGAGTGCTGAATATTAAGGAATATGCGTCTGCTATAGGATAATTAAAATAAAAAATATCAATTACTCGTTAGCCTTGTCCAGACTCTTGACGATTTTTTGAAAATTGTATATTATTGATGTTATTATTGAATAACGCTAACGAGCTGTGCTAGTTTTCATAATGAAGAATGCGCTTATTTAATTGTCACAGGGGTTTCCGGGCCACTAACGGCGAGCGCAATCGCCACGGCGCGATGCTTAGTCCAACCATCGTTCAAGGTACACACCATACTGCGAGCAATATTGCGGGACGAAGTGATCGCCGATCACAGCAAAAAGCAAGAGGACTCGAAGAATGCTGCCGAGGGTCCGACGGATATGAAAGCGGAATTATTGATAACAATGGTAACGCGGGCCGTAACAGCTATAGTGTCAAGACTGAACTCCCTGGCGCATTTCGACGGGACTGACAGCAAAGTCAGCACCCTGGTCGCGGCGGCCAATAGCCACGACAATCTTTGTCGTATGGATCCGTCGTGGCACCCGTGGCTGTAAACTTAATTATTATTTTTATAATATGTTCTCTTTGTTAATTAAGAAAATGTGAGATATTTTACTTATTTACCTATATTTAAGTTGTACATATGATGAACGTTATTGTGAAAAAGATATTTATCGATGTAAATTGAGCGCAACGAGCATTAAATTTTATTTAGAACGATATGAAATTAAATATGACGAGCAACACTGTACATATATATATGCGTATGTGCTTAAACAAGTACAAAGATTTAAAAATACGTTTCATTATTTATGAACGTTGCGAATTACAATTACGTTAAAGTACAGTATTAGGACGGCGATGATAGTTTATGAAACATTTGTATGCATGAAAGGAAATTCAATAAATATTTGCTACAAAAAGTCTACAGATTTCGTCGCATTTTTATTTATGACCTGGCGTTTGCGGCAATGAAGATCCTTCTTCAATCGCCACTTTTTTTCTTCCAAATATTACCTTCTTAATAACGAGTGCAGCAATCGGATTTAACAATTTTATATTCTTTCATTTGATTTGACACACCTTTGGTCTAGTCCCACATTAACTGTTAATACAATATTCGCAGCTGGTAATAAATAATTAAAAATATTCATATGAACAATTGTGTGCGCGAGCGTATATAGTAACGCTAAGGCTTTAGTTTCCTACGTTTTTTCTTCACTAAACATTATCATTTATGACGTTTAAATCGCCAGTGCTGTTTGATTTGTGAATGATATAAATAAATATGGCGGGTGAAGGAAGTTCCTTGTATTTAAATTCGTCCACTGTGTTTATATAGATCGTAGTGAAAATGTCAAAAATATGGATTTTTATTACATTATTAATTTACAGCAAAATTACAAATGCGTCTGTAGGCGACAGATCTCAATTTTATAGTAATTGTATTGATAAATGTCGAGATATAAAGTGTGAAAATGGTAATATAACCTTTAAAAATATAATAATACTAGTGTCATATATTTATTTAACTATAATTTGTTTACTTAGATGTAGATTACAAAGAAAATCTACCCTTGGATTTAAGATTGCTACATTGGACTTGCAGGGAAAATTGTAGTTACTTTTGCATGTGGAAAACCGTCGATTTTTTCTCATCCCGTGGACTATCTGTGCCACAGTTTCATGGAAAAGTAAATAAATTGATTAAGCTATTGATTAAGGACTAAATTAAATAAAAAAAAAAAATAAATAAATAAAAAAGAGAAACATGCTTTTATGATATAATCTTGAGTTTTAGTGGCCTTTCGTTAGGATTTTTGGACTTCAAGAGCCTGCATCGGTATTATTTTCAATTTTAAACTTTTATGCTCATGTTACTTATTATTTAAAATTCAAGAAAGTAATAAGGTCTACATCTCCGATGTTTTTTATTTGGACATGGTTTACAGTAGTAGGAATTTATTTAATTATTATAATATCCACTCTTAATTGTTGTACTTTAAAAATAAATGCTTTGCAGATCTGCTTACATGGATGGTTTTGGTCAACAGTTTTCCATGCTCGTGATAAAGATTTTACCGAAGTTATGGATTATTCTTGTGCGTTTACTATAATGCTCACCTTATTATACTGCCTTCTATTAAGGTAATTTAAAAATTATTTATTTTCTTTGTTTATCTCGCTAATATTTCATTATTGTAATTGACAAATATTGACATATTTTAGGATATTCTATAGAGAAACAATAATGCATAAAGCATTTATAACTATAACCAGTATTTATTTTATTGTTTTATATTCGCATTTAACTCATCTTTGGTCTGGTCATATTAACTATGAATATAATATGAAATTCAATGTTTTAGTTGGTAATAAACAATTTAAATTTACAAAATTCGAAATGAAATATAGACATATATATGTATTTTTTTGTTTTGTTTTTTTGAATTGTCCGATTCTATATAGGATTTTTAATATTTGTTATGTCAATGATTTGGTGGTACAACAATTCCACAAAACTGCCGCATGTCCATTTAATGGGCTGGTTTACTATATCGACAGTAACGGTGTCTCTATTGGAAATAGCAGATTTTCCTCCAATATTCTGGTTATTCGATGCTCATTCCTTATGGCATGCTTCCACTATTCCATTAGTAAAATTATTATACAGGTAAGGATTGAATGTCCGAGCAAAATTAATAAGATTTATTATTAATGTTTGTATTATTATACATTTTCAAATGCAATATTTTACAGATTTGCGAGTTTAGATTGCCAGTACCTAAGGAGGCAATACTCGAAGCTAGAGGACGATAGACTGTGATAATAAATTTGTAAAACATTGAGAATAAGTTTTTGTAGAAAAAATTTATTTTAAGAGAATAATAATGATAATATACATAAGTTTTCGTTTGTATATAAGGTAATACCTTAGGAATACCTCATTAACACACACATATATATATATATATATATATATATATATATGCACATATGTATATATAAATATTAAAAATTACAGTTTATAATATTATATATTAAAATATTATAATTCTTTATGCGCCGCATAATAAAGTACATTTTAAGGCAGTGGGTATTTGTAATTAAAAAGTTAAATAATTTTCTTGAAAATAATTAGCCAAATATAATAAATATAATACCGAGCAGTATTAATTAGAAAAATCTAGTAACACTCGCTAGGTATTTTAGAAGCTATGAATGGGAATGTTTCGATATAAAGTTAAAATATATGACTTTAAACGCTTGTAACAGTACATAAATTCGATATTTCTGAAGAATTAACAATCTTCCGTTTCAATTTTTAAGATATCTTCTTCTTTTCTTTTCTTTTCGTTTTTTTTGTTTTTTATTTTTTTTGTTTTTTGTTTTTTGTTTTTTTGTTTTTTTGACACATACGTAAGTACTAAAATCATCTCGCTAAATATACCTAAGAGGTATTCTATAAAGACCTTATGCTTTAAATAAATGCATAGGTAATAAGTGCCTAAAACTTTCAGACTATGATTGTCCTTTACTATTAATAATTTATCACTTTATATCGGGGTAAATGCATAATAAGCATTCTTCACTTTTCGCACAATAATAAACAAGAATATAAAAAAAAAAAAAAGAAAAACAAAAAAAAGAAAAAAAAAATAGAACAAAAAATAAAAATAAAGTAAGGCTGCCATTTGTACGAGCTTTCGTTGAAAGAACGCGACTTGGAATAATTATAAAGTACGCTTATATTTTAAGAATTAAATTATAAACTTTAAATATTATATATTCGACGTCAGTTTTCATAAATTACAGCATATACAGTTTTACCACTGTTTAGCGAATTGAACGATTAAGCTCCTTTCGAGTTTTATCCAGTTAAGGTCGTAATGTGACTCACATAATATATATACGCAACTTGCATGCTCTTATTTTCTAAAATTGAAGGGTGTTGGCAAGTTGTCAGTCAATTCCTCGAGCACGTTTCCTTACATTTCACTGCTATGCTCTTTTCTCCTCTTATTTTGTTTTTTTGTTTTTTTGTTTTTGTTTTTGTTTGTCTGTTTGTTTGTTTGTTGTTGTTATTGTTGTTGTTGTTGTTGTTGTTGTTGTTTTTGTAACTTTTTTTTTATAGGCAATTCTTACTGACCATTTATGAAATTAAATATCGACAAAAGTACTCCACTTATCGTATTATTAAAATATCGTTTATCTATAAGTTAAATTATAATTTTTATATTTAGACATTAGGATGTGAGATTTATTGTGTCTGTTATAATTTATGCTCTTGATTATGTTTCTTGTTAAAATGAAACACTTAACGTTAATGCATAATAAAGATGCTCATAATCCTTAATTTAAGATTCATCAGTCTTGTTGAGTTTAAAATCTTAGCATTATGAGAGAGTTAGTTAACTTATGATTATGTTAACTTACGATGATATGTTGTGCTCCGATATAAATTATTAATTTTCAAAAACTCTAGTGCAATACTCATTTAATTCAATAAATTTTCAAATTCATTTTCGTGATTTTGAAAGGAAGTTTTGTATGATATAGGATTTTCAAAACGTCGTAGTGAAATGTAAAGAAAATTAAAAAAAAAAAAAAAAAATAAAACATACCCATATATTTAAAAACTCCATCCTTATGGTTGTCCCGATCTCGATAAAAGAAAGGTGCCATGCGACATAGTCAAGTGCAAGTGATAAAAGTAAATATCACATTTTATTAGAATATGGCTGTCAATAGTGCGTGACCATTTTATGAAGCCATAAACAAATATCCTTCATTGTCTTTGTACGTATCATTAAGCTAATAGCTTTTAATTTCTGTACATAAGTACTAAGTATTAGGTTATAATATAGATATACTCTAATAAGTATCTTCAACTATTTCATGAATCGTACCCTCACCCGCATCAATTAAGGCTCTAGTCAATCGAACCTTTTAGAATAGAAGGACAAATCTCCACGCTACAGTTAAGTACCATAAATAGAAATTTTAGTCACCAGTCTTTGAGCACAATGATGTGCCCAATTTTCAAATTGGGAAGACACTTGTGTTATTTTTTTCATTTTTGTTTTTGTTTTTTGTTTTTTTGTTTTTTGTTTTTTGTTTTTTTGTTTTTTTTTTGTTTTTGTTTTTGCCTTTTGTTTTTGCATCTGTTTTGTTTTGCTTTTGTTTCGGAGTATAATATAAGTGTTAAAAGCTCGTAACCATTTCGCTGGTAATATTGATCAGCACTTTCTCTTAAATGATTAAATTTCTCGTAACATTTCATACATATAATATTTATATAAATACGTACTTTTTTTAATATTAAAAAACCGGTATTCGATTACCATTTAACAATCAAGTTATCAACGAAAAGGTAATCTAACCATCGTCAAATAAGCCTACGCAACTTTTCAATGTAAATTTGCCGAGTGCTTGACTAACGCTTCGTTTTCCGGATTATCCTCTCTGTGCTTCTGAAGATTACCGGATAGCGTATGATCAGGCCTTCGTCTATTAAAGAAACCCAATTTCCATAGAATTAAGGTGAGTAGAATTAGAAGTAGTAGACCCGCTACCACAGCCACAATTATTATCCAGATAGGCACTGGCTCGGGTTCTTGTTGATCTAATAGATCCGGATAAGCGATCGTTATGGCCTATAAATTTAAATGCATTATTGACATTATTTAAGCTTTCTCTCTCACTCTCGCTTTTTTTTTTTTTCTTTTTTTTTTAAATGCCTACCTCCGCAGTATCATCGGTTAAATTATTTTGTTGTATTATAACTTGTTGAGGTATGATAATTTTGGCACTTGATCCAATATTTACTCTGTCTACTTTTGGATAATCTTCAGCTAATGTTGAGTTCCATAATCTACGTATTTAAGAAGAATGAAATAAGAGACTTTTCAACGAAACGAATTTATATAAAATTATACCTTGCTTTAACTATAATCGTAGCTTCTTCTTTCTTTTGTAAACTTGAAATAGAACACGTAATGTCGAAACATTTCGCTGTCCCTGTTTTACAATTCTAAAAAGAGAGATTTATTATTTAATTGCCATCTAATTAAGTAATGTAATTGTTATTATCGAAAATTCGTATTAATAATTTACCATGGTCACGACTTGATGATGATGTCCATCTCTGTCGATCATAATTTTCATCGCGATAACTTTCTCTGTATCGCGTCTTCTTCTAATGTGATTCGTCTGATTAAGATCTAATGGCGACAAAGGCTTTTGTGGAAATAGAGGATCTATGTCTTCTAACCCAATACTGCTTTGTAAATTTAACGAATTCACTTGACCCGCTGGTACATGACACTCGCCAATGCGTTCACCTCCCGGAGCTTAAATTAATCACACGTGGCATTTGAGTCGAAGTATATGAGCTCGATTTGAAAGAAAAAAAAAAAATAAATAAAATAAATAATAATAATAATAATAATAATAAGCTATTCATTCATTAATAACTCCAGTACAAATTTTCAATATAACTTGAATTCTTTATTGTGCTGCCGAGCGGCGCCTCGAACGCGTAATTAACAGCAATTTACATTATTAGGCGATACGTCACTGTCAAATATTATTGTAGTACTAAACTTAATTTATGATGATTTGTTGAATGACGTTGATATTAGGTCGAAAAAATCTTTAAAAATCAATCAAATATTTCACGGTTATTATGCTAGTTGGCATTTCAAAATCTTACTATGGCTTCATAAGCCCAAAAATTAATAATAATTTTGGTCGTTATCATTTTTATTTTCAATGATTATTATTTAAGCATTTAAGCATTCAAGCGAGGCTAATGATATTGTTAAAAAACACGAATAAACTGACGTGGATTGTTCATTAATATATATGATCTTGAACATTAACGATAAGTTACAAGGGACAATGAAATCGCTCTTTAAAAAGAGCTAATTGGCCAGAAATTCACTCGTATTGTTGGTAAACTAAGTTTACAAAATATAATTTCTTATTTATTATTAAGAGGTTTTGCAATTTGTGTCTTATAAAAGCAAGTTGAAATTTTATTTTTAACAAATATTTATTAATCTCGAATGAGAAAAATTGTGATAAAACTTTTAATGAAACTTCATTCAAAGTCAATTTAGTTTTTAACTTTCGTATTAAGACGTTTCATTAAAAATTTTTAAATCTTAATCATGCAAGCTTATCAATTTTAAAAGGCTAACCAAATTAATTTCATTACCTTGCACTATCGGCGTATCTTCTAAATACAGTAACCACTTCCCATGGTGTTTATCATTGGCAACCTCATAAGGCCAGGAGATTAAAACGTCGAGCTTGCTGACTTTCCACGGGCCATCGTTAAATATTTGATAAACATGAGCGACCTTTGGGCCAACGTCGTTTAATTTCTTCATTGCGGATTCCCCGATCACAGACCCTCCATACAAGGCCCATTGTGTTTTGGCGCTTCTGCACGTAAAAACGCGCGTATTAAGACAAAAACGACAATTTGAACATAACAAATGTCACGCTAAATTTACACGCATATATCTTTATCCAAAAAAATATCAAGTATTATCTCTCTCTCTCTCTCTCTCTCTCTCTCTCTCTCTCTCTCTGCTCTCTGCTCTCTGCTCTCTGCTCTCTGCTCTCTTTGATTCATATATAAGTGTAAAATACAAACGGAATACAATGTAAATGTATTTTGTTAGCATTTAATTGGAAAATTTAAACATTTTAACCGGAGGTTTAATTTCAACTTACCCTTTAACCGATAATTCTGCTCGTTTCAGAACTGTGGCCTGCAAGTGCGTCGGCTTCTTCGCGCTCACTTCCTTGGACGTTGAATTAGCATATGCGACAAATTCTAGCGTTACTTCGCTGTCTTCTACGTATTTCGGATCGAATCTTATTTGTATATTTACAGACTTATCTTTTTTAAAGGGATTTCCAATAGCGCATGATATAACGGTGCTGTTGTGCAAACTGCATATTGCAGAATCATTTTGCTTGGTTCCAATGTAACTCAAGCTAGGCGAATGCACGAGGAATAATTGCGCCTCGTAGGCGGATTCACCCACGTTCGTGATATTCACATCCACTACTAATTCTTCACTTTCTCCCAACAGCAGTTCATAATAATTCCTTTGTGTCGGTGAAGCTATAATTTATTCCATAAAATTACTGTCGCTGTCGTATAATTCTGCGCCGGGCTTATATAAGCAAATCAAATCAAAACAAAAAACAAAAAGAAAAAACAAACAAACGCAAAAACACAAATATATATATATATATATATATATATATATATACTTGTTTATAAAATCGAGATTGGTTTGTTGTAAAGGAGAATGATAAAGATATTTATAATTCTCGCTTATTAACGATGAAAAAATTAGTTTGATATTTATCGACGAGCAATGCCGATGTGAGTTTCAATTTGATATGCATAAAGCTCGGAGGGGTTTCGAAATTGTGCGATAAATTAAGATGAAATTTGATGAAATTCAACGATGATACGTACCCTGAAGATTCAGGTTGGCCGATAGTCTCAAATCACTTTCACAAATGTCATTGTTTCCACAATCTTTTTGGAAGGTTGCCTCGAAAATACGCGCTGCCTCTTGCTGATTTAAAATCGGATAATTATTTATGTCTGGCATGGGTGCTCCCTCGGGTGGCATTACCGGCTCATCCTGAATAAGCGTATAGTTCAATCGGAATTTAACAGGCGATTGAATGTCTCTGGTATTTTCCTATAAAACCGACAAACTTTCCCTTTATTTAACGCGCTATTATTTACTTTACTAAGCGATAAAACAAAAAACAAAACAAAACAACAACAAAAAAAAACAAAAAACAAAACAAAACAACAACAAAAAAAAATATAATTAGAGAAGAAGTAGAATTTGAAAAACAAAAAATAAAACTCTTGATATAAGTATGTTTTTAAAGCTCTACAGACTTTCTATGACATGTAATCTTCGATTTCTTAAATGCAGTGGCTATTGTGAAAGAGTAGCTTTAAAAAGGCAATTTAAAAGCAACGAAATATAGAGCATGTAAATAAATATATAAATAGGAGGTTCGTATGTACCTTCAAGTACACGGTTTCTCTTTGACAATACATGAGATTCTTGGAGTCTAAAGTAGCGATGCGACTAAGAAAGTGTGGCCGGTTATTTCCGTCGCCAAACCACATGCGAGAAAATTTCTTTGTTCCTGCATAAGTCTCGGCTTCGATGTACGACATCAATTTTAACGATCTTACGTATTCCTCCTTAACGTGCGAAGCTGTCTTACAACACGCCTCGAACGAAAAGCTACGGTGTATTGTACGATGACGTTAGTGTAAATAATAAAATAATAACAACAAGAGTGAATAATAATGGCGATAACGTAGAGTAAGATACATTGTTGAACAATACTAACCATGTGTAGTTTGATAGCGGATCGTCAAAGCAGCCGATCTTATTGGGATCGATCGGCTCCATTTTATCTTGATAAGTACCGTCCTTTCTAGGGAATCGTACAAACGTTATAATATCGATTATTCTTCTGGCGCGCAACAAAGCAATTGCATCCTCTTCGTACGCCCCGACCAATAAATCTGGGTAACCATTTAAATCCATATCTAATCCACCACTGAGCGAGTAACCGAATGTCTTTAACGGCACTGGAGTACTCTCCGAGTGTATTACCTACAATTTTCACGAGCTCGTGTATCAAAAGGGCCACATTCGAATCACTTAACGATTCGAATTTCGACAATGAATTAGGCGAAATAGCATTACCTGCGACGGCACTGTGATTAACCCATTTTTCGAGCCCAAATAAATGTAGACCGTCCCCATACCTTCGTAGGGGGCACCTACGGCAATGTCTTCGAACCCGTCATTATTTATGTCCCTCAAATTCGTCAAAGCAAATCCAAATCTGCAAGTTAAGTGTACGGTTCGTCGTAGCGGGGTAGCTTATATAATAATACTTAAACTTAAAAAATTCTTTGTTTTTTTTTCGTTTTTTTTCTTTCTTTTTTTCACGAATCTCCTACGTATGGAATTTGTCTTTTGTTTTGTTGTTTTCTTACCTTGACTCCTCGCGTCCAATTAATTTCGTCGGCTTGCATTTCTCGCCGTCCTTCGGATTTTTACAAAGTTTCGTGTAAACATAAACGGCGCCACCTTCCTTCTTACCATAATAAAATGGGGCTGCCACTATTAAATCCGATTGTCTAGAAGAAACGAGTAATAAAAAAAAAAAAATGGAAAATAAGAGTTGAAAAAGGATGAGGAGGAAGAAAAAGAAGTAAAAGAGGAGGAGGAGGAGGAGGAGGAAGAGGAATGGGAAGAGAAAACGTAAATCAAAGATAAAAAAGATTTAATTAAGAGGCAATTGTCGATAGAACTATCGGCTGAAATTATAACGAGTCGCTTGAAGTTCTGCCGTTTGAATTTAGAGTGGATTTAAGATTGGCCGGCCGGCCGTTAATAGCCTTTTCAACCACTCGCTCCCTTCTTTCCGACACACAACAAAATTACAAAACTAACGCCTGGGCAACGCATCGCTCGGCTAGATAAACAAAAAAAAAAAAAAAAAAAAAAAAAAAAAAAAAAAAAAAAAAAAAAAAAAAAAGGCCCTGCCCATCACAATCACAACAACACTTCAGCAATGTCTATGGTACATAAATATAGCGTTGAAATAATATTGAGTGTAAATCAATGTAAAAGCTCCATACTTGTCGCCGTTAACGTCCGCGGATGCAAGTTCATATCCAAAGCTCGAAGCAAACTGTTCGCCGTTGAGTGTCAGCGTAATTTCCATAATGGGCTTTTGAAAATGACGGGTGAAAAGGACGACCTGTCCAGTGCCATTCGAACGCGGAGCTCCGGCGGCGTACGCCAATCCACTCCCAAAGAAGTCTCCCACGGTCACGGACATACCTTCGGGTCAAATTTTCAAACGTGATCGATGCTCCTGAGGGCTTCGCCGCATTAAATCAACGGGCTTTCGTGTAATCTCAATTATGTTAATACAAGTCGCGGAGTGACGACGGGCCTTTGTCGGTGGTGAGGATTATTCGGCCTCGCTTTCCCCATTCGTCGCGAGATCTTCATCAACGGTGCTTACTTAACAATCGATTTCTCCTCCTCCTCTACGTCTGGCGAGCATCCCGTTTCGCGCAAAACCAAACGGAATTCTTAACGATACGTGGCATGTCGCGGAATGAAAAAGACCGTCGGCCGATTGTAATTGACCGATGATCAAGGGGCCGAGGAGCTGCTGTACCTACCTCGTAATTACCTAAAGTACTACGTCTAAATAGACGCTTTTTAAAGCAATGGACCATTAAAATTATGCAATTTTCAATCAATGGGTTAACATTTTCCGCTGCTATTGCGTTATAATATCGATTTTCCAATGAATGATTTTATGTCGGAAAATTTGTTTAAAAAGTACGCCTACAATCAACGATTATTCCTAATCAATTCCTAATGAATAAATGAGATTTTCTTGCATTAATAATAAAGCTGAAAATAATAGTTTTTTCTTTTGCAATATCGCTCGTTAATAATAGTCTCTTGGTTATGCATATACGTACGTTTTGCCCGATTTATCGGCAACTCTCGTACGTATTTCAAATGTTCGATTAATTAGTAACGGGGCAAGTGCCGTTGGCCCGTTTAAAAATAAATCTTAAATAATTTAATTGTATAAATAATCATCTTGTCGCAGTTTTTTATAATTACGATTTGGAACCTGCAATAAACGGCCAAAACGGAATAACATCATTCTTTTAGCAACAGCGGCCACATCATATTATAATTATTATTACACGGGCGTCATTGGTTTAGTGATCGCGTGCACGCAGCTAGCTATTCCCTGCAATTTTCTCACTGAAAACTCTCTGTCGCGAGTCCCGAGCTCTTCTCCCCCGCGCCCCCGCGCCCCCCTCACGCTCGAAGATAATAAAGATCGAGGTACTTTTAGAATATTTAAGAGTTTGAGAGTCGTAAAGAAAAAAGGCTGATGGTGGACGTCTGGTGGACGAGCGTAATTCAACGTTCGTCTCGAGCATGTTGCGCGGCCCGTCCGAGGGAACGGCATCGCGGCCAAGTCTTTCATCCCCGGATGCGCGGCTACCTCACGTCAAGTCAAACGGCCGCGATATCTAATTATAGTGATCGTCCGAGGCTCGCCGAATTATCCTCCCTGACCACCTGACTCTAACCAAAACTCACCCAAATAGCTGTACTTGGAAACGGGCGAGTCCTCCTGCATGGGCGAGCTGTAAACGACCGTATCCTTATGTATGAAGTCGTCGGAGACGGTGATCACGTAGAGGGTCCCTCTCCACGTGTGCGGACCCGGGGTCCCGATCACGGCGTAATTGTCGGTGGACGTTAGCACCCCGCTCGTCCCGGCCTGGCAGTATCCAAATTGCTCGTGGGCCCTGGCATTGAATAATCACGAGTAATCATGCGTACCTGTTGCTGCCAATTACCACATCCACTCCATCCACTCCTAGTTTATTCGGCGCGCTTGCGTGTCTCACTTTCGCAATGACCTCGTGTACGTGCGTTTACGCTGCGCCTCCTCTATCACGTTTACGCGCGCGCACAAGCTCACGCACACGCACACGCGCCAACTATTAATCACTCACTCGTTCGCTCGCGCGTTCGCTCTTAGTCTCTACGCTCGTTTATATTTACCTTATCGTCGGTTTTCCGGAACATGGTTTCTTTAGCTCTTGATACTTCAAATCTTGCGTGAATATGTAGCACTGACCTTGTCCCCATTGAGAATCCTTGTTTTTCACGATGTAACGATGAGCACATACCTAACGTAGAGAGCCAACGGGGTTTAACACCATTCGTTAAAAGCTTAAAAGTCTCGCGTCTATATTTTCTAAGCTTATTGATTGTTATTTATGCACAGTCCAAGGATCACGGGTGCTTATTTTATTTTATTACGATCGTTTATTTGCATCGTTGGACGATAAGGTAAGCGTTGTGGAAGTATGGACAATTGGAATATTTAAAATTATTCGTGACGTCGAGAACAGAAAATTTTATCGTGTACCTTTTTTTTTTTTTTTTTTTTTTTTTTTTTTTTCCCTCAACTAATAATAATGTGAATCATGAAAATTTTCATAATGCTTACGAGTGCTTGAAAATACACGCGATTATGACCATTCACAATCAACTATATAATGGAAATTATTTATCCTTCAACGCTATAAATTGTATTACCTAACACTTAAAAAGTGAAGGAGGAAAAAGAAATGATGCCAGTGAACGCAATTGGCATGTGTAGCATTAATTTAGGGGGAAAAGGAAGTAAATAATTTTACAACGAAACGTAAGTGCAGCGAATTTTCCAAAATAATTGTTTCCATTGTATGAAATAAATGCTTTCGTGACTGAGACGATTATATTTGCCAAAAATATTTTTCTCTTTTTTCTTATAATATATTGTCTTGCAATAATGGATGGAAAAAATGGCTTAATTAAGATAGCGAAATAAAATTTTTTTCTTCGAATGCTATAAAATTTTTATTATTCCATAGCGCAGACACAAAATATGTTATTACTTATCATTTTATTTTCAGATTCCTTTATATCCTTGCACCTACTCGGCCGTAAATTCTTTTTTATAACCCAAAATTATTTGTATTTTAAAAGTTTCTTTTAATCACGAGAATGATTGAGTTTTTGTTTATTTTATCGGTTCACTGCTCCATGCTCGGGAGCGTGAGCGAGAATTTTTCTTTAAATATCATTCATTTAGAAGCAAGAGTTTGTACTCTCACCGCTGCGCCCGCCCTCCCGCCGCGCCATTTCTACCGGAAAATAGCAGCACAATTCTCGTTCGCGCTTAATTTATTATTCTCGCTAAATTATTCAAGCCCGAGCGATAAAATTATAATGGAAATACGCTGCTTCAAAGTGCTTAGCGGATATTCGTTGCTTATTTTTTACATTAACCGGGTGTAAAAAAGGTGGTTGCATATTTATTATTCGTTTATCGTAGAAGCGTAGCCGTGAAGAAGGAAGAATAGTACTCGGAGGGTCGAGAGCGTTACCCATTAGCGTGTAACAGTGTTTATTCATCTGGTGTATTTTAAAATTGCAAAATACGTGGAAGAAGGAGCGCGGGACGGAGGGCGTGAGAGTAGCGGGAGAGCCGTCGTCGTCGTCGTCGTCGTCGTCGTCGTTCGTTTTTTCAATGAAAAAATAACGAATGGCAAGCAATAACGCGTCGTTTTGTAAATAGAGTGGAATAGAAAATGATGGCGATGGAGGAGTGAGAAGAAAGCGAAGGACTTATAGCTTATCCCGTGTGCCCGAGTCGAGCGTATTTGACGGGCCATTGATTCGCATTCACGTGGGTTCGCGCGGAGCACAGCTCGATTTTGCAATGAGCTCGCTTGGCTTTGATAGTGGTGGGCGGCGGCGACGGTGACGGTGGTAACGGTGGTGCCTGGTAGGGAGGAGGGTCGTCGTCGTCGTCGTCGTCGTCGTCGTCGTTGTTGTGTGCGCGCGCGCGCGCGCGTGTGTGTGTTTGTGTGTGTGGAGGTGAAGAGGCGAGGCGAGGCGAGGCGAGAGGATGCGCTACAACGCATCCCGACCAGAGTAAGTGCGATTTGAGATTCACCATGACTTTGCCGCCGATGCCGGCGCTGCGCACCGTAACGCCGAGCCACTGTCCATCCTTCACCTCGTTGCTGCTCGGCCGTGTCAGCTCGTCCGTCTCGGTACCTGCGACCAAACGATCATGCGTTACAGATATGCGAGTCGCGCGCCCGTTCACTTCCCTCAAGCTCATGTCCATAAAGTGCATAAGATGTGCGGATGTGATCGAAGCCTCGCTCGATGGGCTGCGGCGCTGCCATTTATTTATTCCCTTCCTTCGGAATGCGCATTTAAACTAGCAACGATCGATCATCGACGATCTCTATTCACTATAACGTACCCTTGCCTTTCGTCTCTCTCTCTCTCTCTCTCTCTCTCTCTCTCTCACTTCCACATACTCAGTCTCTCTGTCTATCTATCTATCTATCTATCTATCTATCTATTTCCTTTCCCTTTATCGGACAATTGTACACAGCGCTTTGCCGATACTTGCGCGTGCGCGCGTACTTGTGTGTTGAAGCAAATCATACATGTCACTTTCGCGTCTTATAGCGTTCGCGTTAAGTTGCAATTTAATTTTTAATAAATTCAATTTTGTTAACATCAACTACTGGTACACGCACGTTCTCTAACCACTTGCAGCAATTTTCCTTTTTTGTTTTTGTTTTAATATAATTAACTATTAATTCGCGAGTTAAACACCGACTAATTGAAATACTACGGCAGCCTTAAGCCCGCTTTAATGAGTGCAAAACGTGACTCTGCTCTCCTATTGGGGATTCGCATTAAATTTTATGATTTTCGACCACTGCACGAGGAAACGCAATTCCACGGTTACTGTACCCCCTATGCATCGGACTCGATGACATCATAACCGCGGAAGCAGTGAGAATAACTCGGTTCGATAGTTTAGCAATTGGCTTTAAGCTAACAAATAGCAAGTGAAACTTTTAAATTCACGCACACTCATTACCGTTTTCACGAATGTTTTTTCATATGCGAATTCCGAATTTCCATGCAGAGCAGGTCACAATTTTTAGTGAATCAATGATCGATGTTTATGTAATTGTATTAGAACTAAACTAAAATCTTCATCGCAAACAAAAATATTACTAGCTTAAATGTTAGTTCGGTTAGTAAGTACAAATTATTAATCCATTGAATTAATTAACGTATTAATAAAATCACGATTATTAGGGTTTCTCAAAATCACAGTAAATTACAATTAAAAATGGTATTAAAAAGCTATACTTTTACAAATATAAAACAGGCTTTCATTACAACAAGCACATTTTATTATGAATTAACAATGGGTTAAGTGTTAAATTAATTAATTTCATCGAATGAGCAGCATGAGCACAGCGGTAAAATAAAATGCGTAACATTAGAGGCTCCTCTCTCACGCACACGCGCACACACACACACACACCAACGCTCACTCTTGAGTCACTCTCTCACTCTCTGTCAGTCTGTCTGTCTGTCTGTCTGTCTGTCTCTCTCTCTCTCTCTCTCTCTCTCTCTCAGTCACTCTCTCCATCTCACTCACTCTCTCCCTCTCACTCACTCACTCACTCACTCACTCACTCTCCATAGCTCTTACTCTCACTCTCATGCCACACGTAAGCTGAGATTAGTATCATTTGATGTATTTCATGCTCAGTGAAACATCATTCGGCATCGTGTGTATATTGATGAAGTAAAAAACAGATACAGGGAAAACGCTTGAGAACTCTTCATACATTTCAATCGTAAAAGAACTCCGATAGTTAACTTACTTGACTCATACTGACTGCTCTCGCCTTCATGGATAACCAAAACATAAGTTAGTGTAAGTTATTCTTTCTTTTAATATGAAAAAAGAAAGGACATGATTACATTCTTAAAGTTAAATGTAATTGAAAGTATTTATTTGTTTATTGGTCGCTATAATTATGGCGTCACTCTAATTTTCATCACCGATGCAGTTTTATTTAATGAAAAAAATAGAGTAAAAAAATAGAAAAAAAAAAGAATCGTAGAAATAATAATATGCATAATAATTAACAAATAAATAAATAAAAAAAAAACAGAAACTGCTATAATAATAATAATAATAATAATAATAACAATAATAACAATAA